TGAAAGCATAACGCTGGATGGACCGCTGGCCGTGAGGGCGAAGGGCTGGTAAAATGGGGTGGGTTCTGTGGAGCAGGCACAGTGAGCGTGGTGTAGGCAGCTCTCGTCCAGTACATCTCAGCTAAACGCTAGTTTTGCTATAGCACAGGGAAGGTGTTAGACTTAGTCCTATAGTGTTCACGTGGCGTGTCCTACACTAGCTGCAACAGCAGGGCACCAGCAGGTGTGTTACGGGAATATTACGGCATCACTCAGAGGGCAAGGGGGTGTTTTTTAGCTCTATATGTCCTGTTTCCAGAGGTTTAAGTTTAGCCACTCTCCCCCTTCTGGAAGGGCTCACGGCCCTACCTGGCAACCTTAAACTTTCTGGACATGTGGGAGTTGTTTAATACCCAGTGCTGGCAGCGCTGTACAGCCCTCCGACACACTTCAAACTGTTCTAAAATAACACTTTCCATTCTCAAAGAAGAGCAGCTCTTGAAGAAGTTTTGAGAGAGCATTAATCAGGATGTTTATAGCTTCTGGAAGGTAGTTATGCAAGATCACTCTAGGAGGACCAAAGTCTCAGCTATCAGAACAGCACAGGGGAGATCTTGCCTTTACTCATCTTATCTGTTTATTTCTACAGTTAAGGTTACTGGAACCACTGTGACGAGAAACAAACCAAAATCTATGAGATCTTACTTTTGTGTGCTCGTCCCCACACCATCACTCACTTGAGCAGAGTAAGGTCTCTAGACAACTCATCCCCGCCAGCGTGCCCTAGGTTCCTGGCTGTATAAATATTTAACTATGTCCAATTATAAATAACTTGCCTAACCTGTAACCATAAGAGGTGGTTTGCTGCCCCCCGTTAACACCAGGAGAGGGAAGCCCACCGCGTACATATGCCACAGTGGCCACAACCTTAGAACACAGAGCCCAGCTGGGAAAAGGGGGAACTGATGCCACTGTCTGTGATCAAGCAGTGCGGGCTTTCACCGGAATACAGAACAGGACGATAACTGCAGAGTGAACAAGGAAGGAAATCCTGTGTGTCTCTAGCCACAAAGGAGCTGGCAGGGTTGCTCTGCACCAAGGAACATGGCAAAATTACAAAGGCAGAATCAGACCCACAAGATGGAATCCACATTAATGCTGATGGTTACTTCCAAGTAATTATCCAACCACTTTCATGCTTACAGTCAGCCTCCTGCTTGAGGCATGATGAGGTTAAGTACTTGCTAATGTGTAATGCAGGTGCAGTAACAATGCTAAACACCTACAGGAATCAAGGGATTAACCTGAGGTCACCCACCAGGATCAAACAGCTCAGGTTCTGGTTGTACTAGAATGACTTCTGTATCACATACCTAGAAAGGGAAAGGTTGTATAAAGTGTGCATAAGATCTTGGGTAACCGTGACAGCACCCTCCAGAAGCTGGGGTCCTGTGAAAGTCTTACCCCTTGTGTCTACTCACATGAGGAGGAGAAAAAAAAGATTCCTTTTAGTTCAGTGAAATATGCACACAAACATTGCAGGGAATGCCTTCTACTCTTACAGAGCAAGTCTCAGGATGTGTGGAGGCAGGAGCAACACCTAGGACAGTCTGAGTAACCCCATGGGACAGCCAGCTCTGGGATACTCAGCCAGGCTGGTACAACCAGTAGGAAGATCACCTTCACGGTCTCCAGCCCATTGGTTCTGGCTGGCTTCAGCCGAACAGCAGGAAACCATAAATAGTGGTTAAATATAAAATCTGCTGTGTGGCAGATCTGCAATATTCGTAGCATAAGTGTAGAGCCATGAGCCCCCTTGGACCTTGAGAAGCCAGAAGTGGCCAGTGCAATGCCAAGAATGGGCAAGCCCTGGCTGGCAGCATTGCGTGCTGTCTAAGCTAGCACATGAACTTTAGTTCACGTCTGACGTCTCTTGCCCTTTAACTCCTCAACCAGAAATGAGAGGCCGTGTTCTGAATGGCACATACCGCAATTCAAGATACAAGGTTCATAAGGGTCAAAGTTACACTTGCTTTGGAACCTGACTTGTGGTTCAATGCTCAACGGCTGGGGCATTAATGCCGCCCTCGGGCACGGATTCGGTCATTCTAAGCGTCTCAGGCAGTTTCAGACTTAAGCGTTGGGAATGTTACACTAAAGCTCAGCAACAATGAAAGGGACTGTTGTGGATTTGAAGGTGTGACTGCTGTTTAAAAAGCCAGGCCTGTCAGAGCCCGGCTGCACAGGGAAGGAACCAGAGAAATTCTTCCCCCTCCTGCAACATGATGCACCGAGTACAATGAACATAGCGCCGGCGCTCAGCTCAGCTACTGGGGACAAGCAAAGCATGGCAGATGCAATGTAGTTACATGAGTGGTAACCACCTCCACGGCAGCTAGGTCACGGAAGGAAACATTTGGTGAAGACGAATTGCTGGATGGGGAAGGGGGGAATCTGAACAGGCAGCTAGGGCTTTACGTAAACAGCTGCAGGGTAGGACTGTCCTCTCTGTGTTTATTATCCCTGCATTTACTATTCTGCAGATATGTGCAGAATGGATTTTCCCCAGAGGGCACTGGGTTGTTACATAACTCAGCAGCATTATGTTAGCAGAGCATGAGTGATCACAGATGGCAACAGCAGAGGCAAAACATGGACCACTCGGGAGATGCATGATGCCAGCTGCTTTAAAAATAGCATAGCCCCAACCCCCACGGGAGGAAAACATCCACCTCTTCCCTTAAAACCAAGAGGTGAAGTATGCTATTCTAGTAGCATCTAGTCATACCAGAACAGGTAAGGATCAGTTATCACTAAAGTCCATTTCAAGGGTTCACAATTCTGCTCATTCATTCTTAACCCCCTACCCTCAACCCCATCAGGAACCTGCATTATACATAGCCAATGATCCACCATCTTGGGCGCTAAAGCAGCCCCACCATTCAGTCTCTCACTGTGATGTACCATGCATGTGATAAAAAGTACTAGAGGGCAAGTATCTAGAGTAAAGTCTCAACTAAGCGTGTCTTTGCTTTCCTGGGTTAAGTCAGATTCTTACAAAAAAGAGTTTATCACAGTAGCTCCTCAGCTGAGAAAACCAGCTTCTGATTGATTGACACTGGTAAGAAATGGCCCAAGTAACCTACTTGTCTGGGCACATTCCAAACGGGTGTCTAGAGAAAGGGGAGGGAGAGCACATCTTTATTACACAATCTCTGGAATGCTCACTTCAGGTCAAGGCAAAGCTGCCAAAGTGTCCTTAACTCATCCTGTTGTACATGCATATTACTGCAGAGGCCTGTCTCTAGTCTACGGGTTGATCTTACCACATGTTGCACAATAGTGACGTGTGCCAAGGCAGCTCCAATTTGTAATTTCCTTTAATATTTAATTTGAGTACGAACTCCTCAGTCTCCTGACCACAGCAAGCAGAACAGGTGGGCTAAGTTCCAGTTTAGTCATTTTCCCGCTAATGAAGTGTCACAGATCTCTCCTGATCAGCATTATACAGAGAGCATGGCAGGAGCTTTTGAAAGACCAAGGTTCTCCAAAGCAAGTTTTACTTTCAATCTCCCAGATCTGCAATTTTCCAGTTTCATCCTGGTTCTTTGGCTGGGGGAGTCCCTAATAACTGCTTTTGTTTCTCAGTGGCTTTGCCACAAATAAATACTTTCTAGTTACTGAGGACACCAGCTCAATGTAACCCCATTCCCTAGTTCTACAGCTCTGATAGACTAGGCTTTTGGTTACTGGAGTCCTTTAGGTTCTGAATACAGCAGTGGCAAAAGCAAATGATCAGAGCTTCGCTTCCTCCTTGAATTTTGGAGTTCCTAGATGTGGTTTAGGGAACTGAGCCTAGACGGAAAGCGGTTCCATTTAAACTGAGCTGGGAGCAATCTGTTAAAATACAATAATTCTGTAAACTTCCTGTGAATGCTTATATCTCCCAACTGTGCCAAATACAGGAACACGGGCCTGGACTGCACAAGTATATTTCACACTCGAAGAAACTCCCTTATTTAGTACTAGGAAGTAAAAATGAAACAAGACCAATTACATTCCTTCTAGGTGAAGCAGGATTGAGCATGTTGAAAACTCACCTGTCAGTCACTTTGCCCAGTCTATTCCTAAGCAGTTTGTACAGCGGTTTTACCTCTTCGAAGTCAACAGGGGCGTTATCGTCCAGTACATTATACTGGGATGGGAACGGGTACGCAGAGCCCAGGAAATCGGATGTCCACTGTTCCAGCTTTGCCTAAACTAGGCTCCGCCTGGATTGCGGCCATTAAGTAGAGGAGGTTCTTTGATGTGGAAAGGAGGATGAAGTAGCTGAGCAAAACTGTATTGCATCTAAAAGGTAGCTAGTGAGTGGAATATGGCACCTTGTCATGGGAAGGCCTCTGCAGGTCACCTCAAGTGGCCTCTGAGCAGTGACGAGCTTCATTTGTGTATAAACAGAAGAAAATTGCTCTATTACATGCAAAAACCACAATTAAGAGAACATTAAGGCTGCAAAGGGAAGCACTCTAGTTATCGACAAGGCTGCCAGTGAAGCCTTCTCTATCCCTTCCTGTGTACACATGATACAAGGATCAGGAGAGCTTTCTATTCTTTCCCTGCAGGATCCCTCCCTCTTGTTGGTCAGTGCGCAGAGAATGAGCTTCTGTCCCAGTTGTTGGAGTGGTCCCTTGCCTCACCACACACTAGCCAGCTCGGTCAGTGAGTGAGTGAGTGAGGGGTCCTCTCAGGCAACTGAGACTTGTTAGACATGTTTCCAACACAGGGTTTGGAGAACACTAGACAGGGCTGCTGCTAGTTCTGTTTCCCATCTCCTTTTTATGATTTTTTTGGGTTTAAATAAAGGTGGATGAAAGCCTCAGGAAGTAGTTCTTACATGAGTCAGTGGATAAATAGCTCTAAGAATATAAAAGGCTCCACTGTGCCATTACACAGTACAGCCAATAAGTGGGATGGTGCAATAGGTGAAGAAAAGAGTTGCAGAAAAACTGCAGAACACTTACCCAATTGCAAAATGCACTAATGCTTGGCCCTGAATTTAAGCAGCACATGTAACCTGGTCCATTCTGGTTTCAAGCTCGAAGGCATCAGGTCGATCCTGTGGGTTAGCAGCTAACATGTCTTTCAAGAGTTGCTTGATTCCCTCAGACATGGAAGTCCTGCGTTTCTGGGGGATATGCAACTCCATCTTTGGGTTTTCTAGCAGTGCTTCCCCAACGGGCACAATCTCTGTGCCCTGCTTGATGTAGGTCCCCAGTAGCTCCTTCTTGGTCTCTGCATCGATGAAAGTTATCCTCTCAATCATGGCCCAGATGATGATGCCCAGGGCAAAGATGTCTGCCTTGGCTGTGTAGTGTCCCTCCCAGACCTCAGGGGCCATGTAGAAGTCAGAGCCGCAGGCTGAAGATAGCCAGTACTTGTTCACATTCACATTTTTGTTATCATTCCCACCTTCCTTGCCCCGAGCCGTCAGGCCAGCACAGACCTTGCTGAGTCCGAAGTCTGCCACCTTGAGAACCGGGGTGCCAGACTTCTCGGTGATCAAAATGTTGTCTGGCTTCAGGTCCCTGTGCACAATATGGTTCTTGTGCAGGAAGGCAATTGCGCTGGTTAGCTGTAGCATGAAACTCTTGTTAGTGGCTGGGTCCGGTCGCCGCGAGAGCACGTACTGATTCAGATCTCCCCCTTCGCAGAACTCCATGACGAACCAGAGATAACAGGGCTCCTCAGCATAGCCCAAGATTCTCTCACCTTACAAAAAAAGAAAGAAAGAGGCATGGTAATGGCAGACACAGCAAGAGGTTAGCAACGGTAAGGACAGTTATGTTTTAAATGCAGCGGAAAGTCCTGATGAGTCTAGCCAGAGCCGCCCTCACAAGGACATGCTGGTGATCACTACTGCTAAGTGTGTCATTTGTAAGTTATGCAGAAGGCTGCAGACTGGCTGACTGACGCCCTCAGCTCTATAGTTTAACTGCTTTGGTGTCCTGTGGAACGAGGGGGCTATAGAATATTTTTCACTTCCTATCACAGTCACAACCGTACCCTAGACACCAGCATAAAGGATGGTTTGCTTTAAAAATTGTTCTACAAGTGGCACTGAGAGGAGATAAACATGGACCCATCCTCCGTAGTTTCTACAGAGCTCAGATTGCAAGTGAACAGTTTTACTATCAGTCCTGCAGGCTCCACCTGGAATCTGAAAACCAAGCTATGTTCTTCAGCTTCTGCATTTACCACCAATAAGATTCTGCAGTTAGAATTCTCGGCCTTGCTGATGACGTAGGAATCAGAAGAGAATCGAGCTTGCTCTCCTATAGCGTTTCCTCTGCTGTGGTGACTGGAGCCACTAAGGGCTGTCCTACTCTTAAGTTTACTGGCATAACTCCACAGGTAAGTATCAGAGGGGTATCTGCATTGTTTTTGTGGATACAGACTAATGAGGAGTCTGGTGGCACCTTAAAGGCTAACAGATTTATTTGGGCATGAGCTTTTGTGGGTAAAAAACCACTTCTTCAGATACAGTTTTTACCCATGAAAGCTTATGCCCAAATAAATCTGTTAGTCTTTAAGGTGCCACTGGACTCCTCGTTATTTCTATTGGTAAGGGGTACGATTTTTTGCTAACATAGGTGTATATTGGTAAAAGCCTCGTGTATATATAGTTCTACCAGTACAAAGCCTACTGCTTACCATTAGAGATTATTTTGGATGAAATCTGTGCCTACAGCCATATTCCCAGCAGGGAGGGAAGGGGAGGGATCTTGAACTGTTTGCCTTCTAGCAAATAGCACATCCTGAACACAGTGAACTAACATGATGCAGGAGAGAAGATGGAAGCTGACCTTGGTTATACAGACAGAACCTGTTAGTGCAACTGGAGTATTTCCTCATAAAACGTTGAGAATTACATTTCACCATAAACCCAGAATACGCAACTTGATTGCCTCTACTTTTTCTATCAAATGACATGGGCAGAGCTGAAAAGTGAAAATGTGTTAAATGACTCCACCCTCCAGCAAATAAACAACAGACTCCAGAGAACACATGGGAAAGAAACCAGGATTACCAATGGCGGATAAAGCCAAAGAACACCAAACAAGCCAAGTCATCAGCTCTTTAATGGTCAGTGACTGGTATGGGTAGGTAGAGAGAAATATTGGTTATTTGCATAAACAGTCTGTAACCATGACTACTGCCATGGAAATTAGAAAAGAAGAATCTGGCCGCACCTCCCTGTCCTATGTGAATGATGAAAGTTAGATCATAAGGAGGAGTGGGAGGGAGACCCTTTAAACCAGCAGTTCTCAAGCAGGTTTCAGGGGGTCCACCAAACAGGGCCACCATCAGACTCACTGGAGCTGGCCCTGGCTTTTATATTCAGAGAAACAGTTGTTATGGCACAGGTGGGCTGTAGTTTTTATAGCATGGGGTGGGGGGGGCTCAGAAAGAAAAAGGTTGAGAAACCCAGCTTTAAACAAGCCATCAGAAAGTGGGGTGCTGGTGGCATTTGCTGGACAGGCCAAATCCAGGCTCCCTAATAAGAGTACTGTAAAGAGGGAATCCATCCAAGTTAGAGTCTCTGTGGCAAACAGTCTATTTGGGGAAGGAAGGGTTATTTGTTTCTGGAGATGAAAACTCAGAACAGGAAAACAGCATGCACTGTCTGAGACGCCCTTGGTGAGAGAGTGGGAAAAGGACATGACAGAATGGAAAACCAAAGACAGAGCTACTGGTCTTGGGAACAAAAACGTTTGCACAGTCAAAACAGTTACGTGCACTTACAGTTTATACTTTTATTAACTCAGCTTAATTAAAACCCTGACAACACCTCCTTAAGAGGCAGGAGTTTGTGTATCCCCTTCCGTCAGTGCTGCTCCAGCCCCCGGCAGGAAGATTTTGGGTGGGATGGCTATTCCTGGCAAGGAATTACACTGTTCTGGTAATAACTCTGAACAGCTGTTCTAGGAGTTGTATATTCTATGCATGAGAACATATGGACTCTGCTTAGAACAGCAATGTCACACCTCTTGTGCGCATGTCATACAAAAGTAGGAGTGCAGGCAGTACCAGGGTATAGGGCACATGTGGGAATGCAAAAGCATTCAGATTCTCGTGGTGGTGATGGGCACCTTTCTAGAAGTGTGACCTAGGTGGTGGTGGCCAGCTCAGTAACAAAGCCAGTTAGTTTCCAACAAGCTGAACTATTGGCTTAGCAAGGAAGAAAAAGCCTTCAGTTTTTAAGAGCAAAGCGAGGAGTGTTGAGTTGACTCCCACAAGCCAAGCGCTCCCGTGTCAAGACAGCTGCACCAACAGTAATAGGCCAAGTACAGTGCTAAAGTAACTGGGGGTGGGACACTGACCTCCAGGTCTATGCCAGGAGCACTATTTATTCACTTAATTATTTCTGGGTTATAGAAAGTATTTTAATTTGTTAAATCACCTTTCTGCTGTCAGAGTAAAGAGCCTCCATTTAAAGAGCTGACAAAGTAGTAGGTAAAATGGAATTTCTGAAAGTGAAATTAAGGGACCAAGAACAATGAAAAGTTTAGACAATAAGCATGATGAGAGCTGGGAAAAAGCAGCTGCAAACTACCTTTCTGCACCCCTGAGCTTGGGCCAGATGGGGACCAAAATGACCTTCAGCGTAATTTAGGAAAGTCCTTAGGATGCTTTGGGTTATGCTGGTTGCAGTGATCCCATAGGGTCTCCTCAGGCCTCCCCTCTGGCATGTCCCCTTACCCACACACCAGGGAGTAAGTGGTATAGAACTGGCAATGGCAACTACCTCCCCTATATCGGGGCCAATCTCTACTGATCCTTCAGGGGTGTTTTCAAGCGGTTCTGTGCTACTGAGACAGTGCAAGTCAGCTGGAACCAAAGCAGAGAAACTGGCCCAATAGACACAGTAAGTTACAACTAATGTTACACTCGGGTTGCATGTGCACATTCACACCACCGTGGCGGCAGGTCTGAAGACTGCACTCAGCTGAGTTTTGAAGAGGGTGCTGGTTGTTATGGGGGGGGTGGGGGGTTAACACTCGTGTGGTCAGGACCAGGTTAGGATTTGTGTGGCAGAGCTACACAATTGGGACCATAAACTACACTGAGACTATTCATAGGAATCCTATACATACAGGATAGGACATTGCCCTTGGGTAGGAATTTAGCATTTTAAATTCTGCTAATGATCCAATCTCCTATTTTGACTTATGTGGGAATGCTACACACCAACAGCAGCAAGGTGCCTGCTCTTGCAGTAGGTTTAGTGGGAAAAGCAACATGGGACACCAGCCCCCTTCTATTCCTGCACTTGCCTTCATTCTCCCCTTGATCTTTGCCCTCTCTTTATTTGCACTCTGTGGCTTTTGGGGTGATTTGTTGGCCACTCTCCTCTTCCCCGCCCCCCATTGTTGGGGTCCTTCCCTGGTTTTTGTCTCTGAAGGGTGCATACCAGGACTGAGTTCGTTAGTTTGCCTCAGCAGTTTTTGAGCTTAGCATAGAGAAAATTACTGGGAACCGTCACCTTCTGCCCCTGGTTTTACACACAGAGCAGGCAGCAAAGGGAGACTAAGAGAAAAAACAACTGATAGACAAGTTCTGAGACTGATCTATGATGTAAGAGGTTTACATAAAGTCCCACTGAATTCAAGGACATTGCACACCAGTCTAGGTGGTGTAGGATGGATAATGTGCCCTAACTCCTTCATTGCTGCAGTGACATTCCCCTGAAACACGTATCGAAACCTCAACATTTCAAACTTAATTCAGACAAATCACTGAGCAAATTTAACAGCTATCCAACTGGTGTCCTTTTCTCCATTGCTGCAATTAGATGTAATCTTAAAATACACTGGTTAGCTCAAGATACCTTCTGTTGAGATTCATATGGCAAACAGATATGGCCAGCCCCTTGCACTGAAAAGAGATGGCCACAGACACTGGTAGACGCTGGTGGCGTTTGAAACTAGCAGGCTATGCACTGCTGTGTGGTAACCAGTGTGCAGGCTGGATAGTCACGGACACTGCAGAAGTATTTTGAGAGCTACAGCACAGAGTCCAGGCTGCTGCGCAGCCAGGCTGTAGCATGTGAGCTGACGTGCTAGTAAGCACTGCCCGATCTATGTCCAGTTTCTCTCTAACAAGCGAGTTCTGAACATTGACACCATTGGCTAGAACAGCCCATAGGGCACGTGGTCAAACATGAGCCCTGAACATATGTATGTATGAAGGCTGTGGCTTTGCACATTGCCGATGTGTACTTCCCTCTCAACGGTCCCTCAATTGAGACTAATGGAATCCCAAGCCAGGTGCTCAGCTTCTGCTGTAATTTGCTTTAACCAGAGATGCCGAAGAATGAATTTCAGATTAGAAACGACATTCACTCGGCGAAGGAATCTGAACCCTACAGTCTAGTGGTCTGTTACTTGAGACTCATCCAAAACGAGGAGCACGAATTAATCCCCACATCCTGAACCTCGGCACGTTGGCACAACATCTGTGCATGTCTGTAAATAGCCCAGCTGAGGTCATGCAGAATGGCACGGCAGGGACGCTAAGCGCTGGGCACATGGGCCAGAACACTGTTGGTGGCAGAGAACAAGAGGGGCATAATCAAGCACCGGTGCCTTGGGTGACTGGGCAAGGGGGAACTGAGGTATGGTAGCTTTTGGTGAGGTCTCCCCCCACCTGTTTACCTATTTCAAAGCACCTATCAGTATAAGTTACACAGCTTTGGAGGTAATTGAGATGCAAGCTATTGAAGTTTTTTTTGGGGTGAACTGATGCATTTTGGAGCATACAGGGTTCTTCACCTAGCAAATAACAGAACTCAAGCTTACGGATAGGTCTGTGATGAGAGGATAGGTATGGGGAGGATGGAGGGAGAAATTCACCAAATGCAGGTTCAAGCTGGCTTTGATTGTTGTAATGCAGTGCATATCTCCCCTTCAGGATAGGAAGGGAATGGGGGTCCCAGGGTGGTCTCCCCAATTTACAGCTTCCTTCAGCAGAATCTTTTACTTTCATATACAATTGGCTCCACTTGTTGCCATGAGGGAAGGTCTGAGGAAGAGGGGGTGGCTTCTGGACCTCTCTGCCTGAGGGAGTTTCTAGGGTAAGGGAAAACATACAGGGAAAAATATTGTCCTGGGGGACTTCTTTCCCTAATTTCTAGGGAAGGACTCCACTACAGGGACTGTACAACGAGGGCCCCGAGGGGAGCCCCCACTACCTTTCTGCCAGGTCTCCAGTCTCAAATAAGGCTGGCTCTGCTTATTACAACTGAGGTGGGTCCCACGGGAGGAGGGGCAGGGCCCTCAAGGGTGGTACCCACGTGTAGGATTCTAATTATCGTTCAGAAAGTTCTCCCTGAGGAACATGCATAGTTGACTGCCTGTTGCTGGGTGCATGAGAAGGAATCCCTGTGAGAGCTATGGGAGCCTCCCTCCTTCCTTGGGGGTGGGGGCATATAGTGGGACCCAGAGGTGTGGCACAAGTAGAACAGGTCTTCCTTATGGTTGAGTGGGAATATACGGGTTATGGAATGCCCCTGGCTGAAGTTGTATGGGGGGGAAGAGGTTGGGGGAGGAGTTGTGTGGCAGGGGGAGGGGGACTCTATACCAGATACAGGCAGAGCGGTCTCTGCTTGTGCTGTGTGGGGGGGGTTATGGAGGATCCCCCCAAGGATATATAGGAGGTAGCAGGTGGGGGGGAAAGCAATGCTTCTCAGGGATATCTCCACCAGGTGCAGGTACAGCTGACAGCTTGTTGCTGTCTGGGTGGGTATTATGAAGGGTCTGGGGGTGTACAAGGCTGCCAGGGCCGCGTACAGGTCCCGTGGGTGGGTCCCAGTAACTTTCAGGGAGGTCTCCACCAGGCTCAAGTAGCGCTAGCGCTGCATGTCACAGAGGAGGTGGTTGAGGGTCACTGTGTGGGGTGTATAGGAGCTCCCAGGGCTTTAGGAGGTACAGAGATTGCTGTGGGGGTGTATGGGGATCTGATAGGGCTGTGGGGGCATATGGAGTTTCAGGGCTATAGGGTCACCGTGTGGGCCCTGGTATCTTTCAAGGAGGTCCCCACCAGGCGCAGGTAGAGCGGGCTGTGGCTGAGGGGGTTATACGGAGGGGTCGCTGAGGGGGACTTGGGGGTCCCAGGGCTGGGGGCCCCCGGGGGGGGGGGGGGCCCCGGGGGGGGGGGG